CCTTTCCCAAGATTTTTCTAAAAACCCTTTGAATGTTTTCCAAAGATGGAAGTCTTTTATTTTTGCCTTGTTCTGTTTTTAGGCACCCAATATTTGAAAGGAGAGGAGATGATTTATATACAAACGTGACAATCTCACTAGTCGAGTCTCTGGTGGGCTTTGATATGGATATTACTCACTTGGATGGCCACAAGGTAAACAGACCAGTTTCCTGCTTCCTCCATGTGGATGGTTTTGAGATTATGTGTTTGGTTTTTCTTTTTATGTGGAAAACCTATTTCTTTGGCTTTCAATGCCCTGATGATGGTTCCCTGTCCCTTTATCCTTGCTGCCGTGCTGAGCTGTGACATGAACTCTGGGCACCAGTGCTCACTAGAAGCCGTGTGTCGTACTTCAAAAGTACCCATCCTACTCCAGCCCATTCCCTTTTGCTTTCTAGGTACATATTTCCCGGGATAAGATCACCAGACCAGGAGCCAAGCTATGGAAGAAAGGAGAAGGGCTCCCCAACTTTGACAACAACAACATTAAGGGCTCTTTGATAATCACTTTCGATGTAGATTTTCCAAAAGAACAGTTAACAGAGGAAGCAAGAGAAGGTGAGCGGTCTAATGAGAGAGAGAATACGTGCGTATATGTGGTATATGCGTATGAGAACAGCGGTTAAAAAGGGGCAATAAAAACAAAACTCTCCAGTGACATCATGCATCAACCACTAACCCTACTGCAGACAGAACTAGGAATTGGACTTGACTTTCTGTAAAAGACATATTCAAAATTCTTCTGTCACTGTGTTAAAAAAAAAAAAAGGCTGGGTGTGCTGGGCTTTAAAACTTGGGGTGTCTGGACCAAACTGTAGAGGGAAGGGTGAGGTATACATTAGAAGGGCTAGGGGCCTTAGGATGGTGTCTGCGATGGCTGATGAGGGAAGGGCCCAGTTGGTGTGTCCTAAATAATAAGAGGAAAGAGAACGGTGGAAGAGGTCAAAACTGAAAAGAAGACAAAGAGGAGGGAATGGAAGACAACTGAAGAGCTTTCTTTCCATTTTGATGGCCTCTTCTCACTTCTCATTTGGTAGGGTTTTGTGGGATTATGTGTGGTATGTGTGCTTAAGCACCAGAAAGTCATGAGGGGCTGTCTTGGACCTACATGTGCGTGTGGGGGGTGAAGGTATCCACATGCAATGAACTTGAACAATTCAGATCCGTTGTTGTCATGTGGCCTTTTGTGAGCCTCTGCGTGAAACATGCTCTTCGAACTCTACAGAAGTGACATTTTTGTTGATGGAATCATTTGTTCCTTCTTTCTTCAGGTATCAAACAGCTACTGAAACAAGGATCAGTGCAGAAGGTATACAATGGACTGCAAGGATATTAAGAGTGAATAAAATTGGACTTTGTTTAACATAAGTGAATCAGCGATATTTATTATCAACAGGGGTTTTTGTGTGTGTGTGTGTGTGTGTTTTTGTTCTTATTTTCAATATGCAAGTTTGGCTTAATTTTTTTCTCCTGATGATTGTCATGAAATGAGCAAGAGGGTTTAAGAATTTGTCCATTTGTATTCAGAAAAGAATGACCAGCAAAAGGTTTAATAATACCTCTCCCTTTGGGGATTAATGTCTGGTGCTGCTGGCTGAGTTTCAAGAATTAAAGCTGCAAGAGGACTCCAGGAGCAAAAGAAACACAATATAAAGGGTTGGAGTTCATTGTTAGCTGTTTCATTCAAAATGCCAACTGGAGAAGTCTGTTTTTAAATACATTGTGTTGCTATTTTTTTCTTGACTCCTGTTTCTTGTTGGTTTAGCTACACTGTTGTCCTTCCATCCCATCTGGTCACTTTCCCTTGATCTACCCTGTGTCCCCCTGGGCTCCTGCGGGCTAGTCGGCTTGACCTCCCATCAGCCAAGATGGACCCACAAACCTGCAAAAAGGGTGGTAATGATCCAGTCCCCATACCCAATTAAACGCACATAGTATCTTCTAGAAAGGAGCTTGAAGAAACTGAGTAGAGACTGGGGTACAATTGTCCCTGAGAAAATACATTTCCTCTCATTTCATTCGGGAATAATCTGATATGGATACCTTACTGTTTAAAAGTACTTTTCACATACATAATCTCTGTTGACCTCATGATTAAAAAGCCTTTGGTTTGTGTTAGGAACCAGGATTACCATTGGCCCTAAAAAATGCGTGTGACCTGCAGATTACTTTTGCCTCCCCAGGTGGCCTCTGATTCAGTGGCACACGACTTGAGTCGACTTGGTTTTTGAATATCCTTCACTTTTCTGCAGCCCCGTCACACTACTTTTCATATACTTGTGGACTGCACGGTTCCATAGAGTGGGACAATTTCTGTTGTGTGTGCGGAGCTGCCTTCCAGCCATCTGTGTCGTTCCAGAAGCACTCCCTCCTTTGTCTCTTCAGCAGCCAGTGATACTATTTGTTTTTGCGTTGCATTTTGCCCCCGATTTACAAAAATGAGCGGAAAAGGGGAAAAAAATGAAAACTTCATCAGCTCAGTACAGCTAACAAGGTGAGAAGCAGCAGCACACTTTGACAGGTACTATTTGGACCTGAGCACAACTCATGTTCACTTATGAAGGGAAAGGACAAAGTTAAGAGGCTTATTTGAAATGCTGGAGATCTTAGAATTCAAATGAAACCACATAAATACATATAAAGTTTAGTGGACTTTTTGTACATTTGATGTTCATTATGTACTGGGTTGTACATTATGTTCATTATGTACTGGGTTGTCCTAGTTGAGCATTTTTTTAGGAATAAACCAACATTTTACATTTTTAAAAATAACTTTTATTTATATTTTATTATTATTAGTTATTTTAAAAAATGTTATTTTGAGACAGCGCAAGCAGAGGAGGGGCAGAGAGAGATGGGGAGAGAGAATCTCAAGCAGGCTCCGCATTATCATTGCAGAGCTCGACGCAGGGCTCAAACTCAAGAACTGTGGGATGGTGACCTGAGCTGAAATCAAGAGGTGGACTCAACCAACTGAGCCACTCAGGCACCGCTCCCTTACACTTCTTAGCCCAAGAGAACTGATCGTTATCTGCACTGGCTCATCCTCTTTCTAAGATTTTTGCAAGAGTCAGTCACATGGTAAGAGCTAGAGTTACTAGTCTTGGCTAGAAAGACCCCATAGAGATTGTGTTCTTGCTACAAATAATGTTAACGGGGCCTTGTCACACCTGTTAATCCATGGTCCAGACAGCCACGATTTGAGAAGTTAAAAAAGAATATTCTTTTATCATTTGACTCTGAGCTTTAGTTCACTTTAAGTGCTTTGTCTGAAGCACCCTGTAATGTGGAATGATTTGTATCAAAGTTTCACAGATTTTCTTGTTACAACCGTTGGAGCAGAATGGTGGAGGTAGAGATGTGGGGAGATCTTAAAACCAGGCTCCAAAGCCCGAGCTTTTAGCACTATGGTATAAATTTTTCCCGGATGTTAATGTCCCAAAATGTCCCTGAGACAGCTGGTTCCCTACCAAGTAGATAAGCGTCTGTCCAGGAACGTTGCAGGGAGGGTTCTTAGGCTTGGGAGATTGTAGCAATCATGTGTGCTGCCTTGAAACCAGAAGATTCTATGTATTACAGAGTTTCCAAGTGAAGAACACTGAAAACTGTCTTCTTAGTAAAAAATATTTATCGAGAGCTTACTATGGGCCAGGTTCTGTTCAAGTACTTTATACAGATGAGCTCATTAATATGAAAGAGAGACTGTGACCTTCAGTATCCAGATGAGGAAGCCGAGTTACATCTCACAGCTTAAAAGTGGTGGGGCCAGCATTTGAAACCCAAGCAGTCAGCTCCAGCATGCAGAGAACTTGATCAAAGGGGATGCAAACCCAAACTGTCACAAAATACCACACTGAGTTTTTCATTTCTCTGGTGGCCTTTGAAGCACAAACTTTAGGGTCTGAAGTTTCAAGCAGAGACCTTATCACTGTGGCTCACTTTCAGGAGGAACTGGCTTAGCAGTAGCCATGGGCTATTAGCCAGGGGCATGTCGTCCCTGGGATTTGGGTGCAGCATCTGAATCCAGAGTGATCGTGGATTGTCAGACTATCCGGCCAAACTCTGGCCAATTCCTAGAGTGCACAGATAATCTTTTATTTAACTCTTGCTGTGGAAAGAGTTAAATTAATGACGTAGACTCAGGTCCAGGAAGAAGACACTTTTTTTTTTTTTAATTTTTTTTTTTCAACGTTTATTTATTTTTGGGACAGAGAGAGACAGAGCATGAACGGGGGAGGGGCAGAGAGAGAGGGAGACACAGAATCGGAAACAGGCTCCAGGCTCTGAGCCGTCAGCCCAGAACCTGACGCGGGGCTCGAACTCCCGGACCGCGAGATCGTGACCTGGCTGAAGTTGGACGCTCAACCGACTGCGCCACCCAGGCGCCCCCAGGAAGAAGACACTTTGATACCCCCCCGCCCAGTTGCCCAGAAAGCAGTCTGTGAATCTAAGCAGTCTGCTCAAGTGCGATCGTGCTTCACCCCAAGTCTGCAGTTCTGAGTCCAAGTGTGGACTGCACAGTGAGACTTTGGATTCCCTGCCAATTAACAGCTCAGCTCTGTGACTCCAGACAAATAGCTTAACCTCTTTGAGCTTCAGTCTCCTCCCCTACCTCATATTACGACCATTAAACAACATGATGTATTTGAAACTTACCACAGTACCTGCTATGTAGCAAGCGCTCTTTAAATAGTAATTGCTATGAGCTGAATGTGTCCTCCCCCCAAAAATTCATCAGTTTTAGACCTAATCCCTAGTATGATGGTATTCAGAGGTGGGGCCCTTGGGAGATAATTAGGTCATGAAGGTGGAGCTCTCAGGAATGGAATTAGTGCCCTTATAAGAAGACACGAGAGAGAGACGATCCCTCCACCACAAGAGGACACAACGAGAAGACAGCCATCTGCAAATCAGGAAGCACGCCCTCACCAGACACTGGATCTGCCAGCACCTTGATCTTGAACTTCCCAACCTTTAGAACTGTGAGCAATAAATGTTTGTTGTTTAAAGCGTCAGTCTATGGTAATTTGTCATAGCTGCCTAAGCTGACTAAAAGTTTTTATTGCCGTTCTGTAATATATGTGATTGAACTGTTTTTGAAGCAATTTGCATTTCTGGTAAAACGTATATATTTTTTAAGTTTATTTATTTATCTTGAGAGAGAGAAACCCTGCACAAGCAGGGAAGGGGCAGAGAGAGAGAGAGAGAGAGAGAGAGAGAAAGAATCCCAAGAAGGCTCCCTGCTGCCGGCACAGAGTCCGACATGGGGCTTGGGCTCACGAACCGTGAGATCATGACCTGGGCCGAAATCAGAGTCAGATGCTTGACTGACTGAGCCACCCAGGTGCCCCAAACATCATATTTTTGGAACGCTAACAGGTTGTCTGTCCCCAGTGTCCAACAGGGTGAAACATTCATTGACCTGCACATGTGTGGATTTCTGGCCTTGTGACAACCCTCTCCCCCCACATTACACTCACTTTGGGAAAAAACCAAACAGGGCAACTGCCGAAGGATTTCTGCAGAGACCAAATGGAAACTGTCACTACTTTCTCAGTTGGCTCCGGGCACAGAAAGACCGGAATGTGCCAGGAGGACATGTACTAAATATGAAAAGGGGGGAAAGGGAAAAGCAAAGCAACCCCAGAAACCCCTTAGTCTCAGGCGAACCAGTATGGTCGGTCGCCCTAAGGTCCAGCATTGAAGGGCCATCTTGCACAGAAGCCCCTACGGCCCATGTCATTTATGTCACGGGCCAGTGCAGAAGGGGCTGGGAGGGCTAGAGCCAGGCTGCATCCTGAGAATGTTCTCTGAAGAAGGAATCCATGAGAAATGTGCATAGAGGCCCAGAGGAGCAGGGCCAAGGTGCAACTATTACAGCGTGGGCAAGGGCAAGGGCAGACCTTGGGATGCCACTCCCAGGCCTGTTCAAGATGGTCATGCATCTGAAAACAACATTCCACCTTGGACGATTATATAGGGAGACAGGGAGAAAGTTATTTTCTTTGGTAAAAGTTATATATTCACCTGAGCTATGACATTGAAGATAAAGGAATTATGGCATATACCAATGATATGATTAAATTGTAAACTTTGTGAACTTCTCTGTCTTTCATGTCACAGTTTTCCATTTCTTTTAATAAATAACTTTATCCATTTATGCTAAGAATATAGGCCACTTTTTTAAAAAATATTTTTATTTATTTTTGAGACAGAGAGAGACAGAGCATGAGCAGGGGAGGGGCAGAGAGAGAGGGAGACACAGAATCCGAAGCAGACTCCAGGCTCCTGGCTGTCAGCACAGAGCCCGACGCAGGGCTCGAACCCACGACCTGTAAAATCGTGACCTGAGCTGAAGTCGGATGCCTGACCACCCAGGCGTCCCGAATATAGGCCACT